TATGAACGCTATGAGTTAGTAACATATACGGTTGTATAAACAAATTTAATGCTATTCATGATATTATGAAATGTATAGGGTGTTCCATTTAAAAATATCTACATACTCTCCGTTACGCTGAAATGGAACATCCTGTATAAGTGAAAATAATTTTACGTAATAAAAAGTAGTGAGTCAAACTACTTTTGTATAAAACATTTTTTTCCTTCTTAAACGGTTTAGCAACTATCGTCCGCCGGGATACTAATAACTCACTTTGTATATACAGGATGGTCCATTTAACGTGCGACAAGCGATTATCTCGAAAACGGTTCATTTTACATAAAAATGAACCAAATACAAGTTGTTCTATACGAAGGGGGAAACCATATGACGATAACATTTTTGACCTTGATCTTATTTTGAAGGTTATATGAAGGTCACGCCCAATTTTTTAAATGGCACCCTACATATTTTATTGTAAAATCTGAATCTGGGGATAAAAGTAAAGTAATTATAAAAATTAAATGTTAATTTTGCTGTGTGGTTTTGTGTTGACAGTACAACGGCAAAACATCTTTTGAAAAAGTTGAAACTTCTTCAGAAACAATTAACTAACGTTTATAATCTAGCAAGAACAAATAACATTTATGAATTTTTAAACATTTTCCTACCCGCTTCGATACATTGTCTTTAGTAATTCTTAGAATACTACTTAAGAATGCTCAACAAAAAAAATTCAGAAGAGGTACATCGGGTGACCTGGCTCGTCGGAAATACCTTTGGAAAGAGGTTTAAAAGGTTCCGACATTTCTCCGACTTTGTCAATTTGATAATAGAATAAGGCATAAAAAGCAGGAGTTCGTGGAAATGCTTATGTCGGCATTTTCAGAATATCACTTTCAGAGACTTAATTGGTTGAATTGTTTTAAAATGTAACAGGTAAGACAAAATTTGCATAAAAACTGCTTGGCAACAAATTCTGAATTCAGTCCATCGTTTTACGTTACGGCACTAAATTAAGACATTAAATTTTTTCTTAAACTAAGACATTAAATCATGGATACTCTAGGTGTGGCAGAAAAGTCGAAATGATTTTTATTTATGGAGAAAGTGGCAGAAAAGTTGCTGATAGTATAGCTTTGTATCGAGAACGTTTTCCTGATCGAAATACACCTTTGAGAAGTACCTTTTACAGAGTTGTGAATGATTTCACTAACACTGGAAATGTGGAATCAAGTAAAAGAATTCGGCGAGCAACTGTAACCACGGAAGAAAAGAAAATTGCGGTATTAGCTAGCGTTGAGGTTAATCCTCAAGTTAGCACTCGACGACTTGCAGTTGACACCGGAATATCGAAGACCAGCATTTTAAGAATATTAAAGCGCAACAAGTATCACCATACCACATTTCATTGTATCAACAGCTTTATGGAGGTGATTTTGAAAATCGATTAATATTTTGTCAATGGGTACAAGAATGAATGCGGTTGGACGTCAATTTGTTTGGTAACGTGCTATTCTTGGATGAGTTTACTTTTACAAACAAAGACAATAATATACATAACATGCACTACTGGAGCGTTGAAAATCCGTGATGGTTGGTTAATGTTGGTTAACCTTGGTAGGTTAATATTTGGTGTGGCATAATTGGTGATAATATCATCGGTTCATACTTTATTGATGGTATGCTGAATGGGGAGAAGTACCGAATTTTTATAGATGACGTGTTACCAACGTTACTTGTAGATTTGAGCAGGGAAGAAAGACAAAATATGTGGCTGCAAAATGATGGGTGTCTACATTTTTCACATATTGCACGTGAAGCTTTAGATCTGGATTATGCTGGGCGATTGATTGGGAGGTCCAATTTCCTGGCCTACCAGATCACCTGATTTAACATTTCTTGATTTTTTTGTGGGGCATCCTTAAGGATAATGTTTATCGCGAAGTACCAACTACGTCAGAAAACATGAAAGAGCGGATAAGAAATGCATGCAGAAATAGCAGCCAAGAAAACCTTTTAAGATATAAAGAAAGTTTTAGTAGAAGGGTTAATAAATGTATTGAAGTGGGTGGGGAAATATTTGAGCATTTATTATAAATTTCATACTTGTTGTTGATTAATAGTATAGTTTAATCATTTTTTTTATAAATAAACAATATTTAAAACTATTTGAATAAAAAAATTTTGTCTACAAAAGATGTTTCGCCGTCGTACTGGCAAAACCACACGGTAATTTTATTTTTTTTAAAATTATTTTACTTTTATCCATAGATTCAGATTTTGCAATCAAAAACATAGGGTGCCATTTTAAAAATTGGCCGTGACCTTCATATAACCTTGAAAATAAGGTTAAGGTCAAGGTCAAAAAATGTTATCGTCAGATGGTTTCCCTCTTCGCACAGAACAACTTTCATTTGGTACATTTTTATGTAAAATGAACTGTTTTGAACCGTTAAAATGAACCCTGTATATAGGGTGTCTCAGCCAGACCTGTCATTAAACGTTTCTGGGGTTCTGGCCAAAATAAATATTTGAGAATTTAGATTTAAGTATTATCAATTGCGTTCTCTTCGACTAAAATGTTTTCAGATTTCTAACACTTCCGGTTATATCGGAAGTCGCCACCTACTTTATTTTTTTAAATGGAACAACCTCTATATTTTTACAAGTTTGGACTTGTCTATTTTCAAGGCTTATGAATAAGTTTACTTTTTGCAATTTAATGCAGCCGTTCGAATTTTTCTAGAAAAATCTGCTCCAGCAGACATTTGTTCAAAAAATCAGAGAACACTCGATTTTTGAGATATTAATTTAGGATTCAGAACATGTTTAAGGAACATGATGGAGTATATTTTGGTGCTGAGAATGGTTGTCTAGATCGTTTGGTCACCTTACTATGGCACGTTAACTTTTCAAAATTTCGAAGTACCATAACTTCTTTTTTTTAAATGGCACCCACCATATTTTATTACTTAGACGTCTTCGGCTTCTGATTTTAATTTTTGATCTTTTATACTCCACATGTTCTATACCTAACATTAATAGTTTGGGAAATAATTAGGGTTTTTTGAAAAATGCTCACATATCATATCGATATTAACCTAGTGTGCCATGGAAAACAAATGTATAATGACTTATTGACAAACGTCAAAGTCTGATTTACGTTGTTTGATGCTTGTGAGTCTAAAACCAGTTAAGTTTATTTGTAGCATGAATCATAATATTCATCAAACCATTTCATTTGATACCTCTCATTAAAATCGGAAGGTAAATGACAGAGTTGCAGCTTGCGGCGTTCTTGTGTGACACCTGTGTATACAGGTGTCCAGTGGCGGCGATAGGCGTCGGCGATGTCGGCGATCGCCGAAGGCCTCGCGGTTAAGGGGCCTCGTAGTCGATTAAAAAAAATCTTGCTGCACTATTACAATATCAATATTATTTTCTTAACACTTGATTTAGAATAGACTTTTTTAACACAATGGTAGACGCTATCATAGTCGACGTAGAATGTCGATTCAAATCTCTCAATGAATATTTCGAACGATTTGGTTTTATTTATGACATCAATTATTTAAGATCTTTATCAAAACAAAATCTTCTGAAGCACTGTAATGATCTTGGTACAACTCTCAGGGATGGGGAGAACAGTGACATAGAGCCTTTCGAACTCTATGAAGAACTTCAACTTATAAAATCAAATTTGCCAGACTCTGTTCAAGATGTAGTACAACTAATACAGTACATTGTGCAAAATAATTTGCAGGAAATATATCCAAATGTTTACATATCTNGTACGGTAGTAATTATAATTTGTTAATTTTCTTTTTTACCATTTAGTTAATTTTATACAATTAATTTGATTTGATTTGTATTATGTTTGTTTCTTTGTTTATCTTTTTGTACTGATTGTCACTTTGAAGAAATATTGTTGTACAATTGTTTTTCTAGTGGATACTTCACTGGGATTTTTCCTGTTTGTATCCCATAAGCAGAATAAATAAATAAATAAATAAAAAATGAATGCCTACATAAGATGCAGAATGACATGTACGGATCACATAACGTTGAGAGCATCAAAAAGAATCAGATAGAACTACAGCGAAAAAACGTCAGGCAGCCTTCCTCAGTTTCAAAGTAAGAATAAAAGAATTAGAACAGGTCAAAGTATGTAATGTAAACTATGGTTACACTATGAGTGATTACAAAATCAAGATTGAGTGCTATGCAGATGACGCCGTCATCTTGGTTGATACTGAGGATGGCATACAGCGGTTAGCACAGACATTTAACATTGCAGCTGAGGAAGTGAATACTGAGCAATCAGATACAAATTGCTGCCAAGACAATTCGCCAACACCCTGGTTTAGGGGGCGCTAGTGGGACATTGTGGATTCCGCGAGCCCAATTGTGTATAGAAAATATTGGAAACAACTTGATTTTAAAGCAAATTTCATTGATATCTAGGAAACGAAAAAACTTTTGCTACAATTTTTTAATCTATTACTCATTATTTGTCATGAGGAATAAATTTCCAAATTTATGGGTATAGGTTGAGAATCATCCTGTATATATACATACATTCTATTTCTTTGTGATCAAACTAGCAATTTTAGGAGAAAATGTCAAGAGACAAAACAGTTGCGTATTGAATCCCTCTATTTAAATCAAGTTTTTAAATAGAAAAATGTAGACGCATTAAAAAGTTTTGATGCAAAGTATTATAGGGGTTGATTTTTTCAGCCCCTTGTAATAACATTTTCGGGTTATAAAAATCGTCAAAAAGTGGCATTTTATTAGAAATAGTTATCTGCCAAATTTCATTCTTCTAAATTCCTCCATAGTGGGTTTATTAAATAAAAACAAATTTTTTTCCCTAACTTTAGAGTGCTAACTCGGTGGGGAAGGGGTTTTGAACAAAAAGTTATATGAAAGACCCCCCTTAGTTTTTACTGAAAAATCACTCTTTGAAATCTTACGTATCAATTTAGAAACACCTGTATATACATATTTCTTACCTTATTTCCAGGTGCAGTTCCATCAGAATCAGTAGCAACTAAATCATAAATCGCCGTTCCAATAGCAGTATCATCCTCCAACATAATCGGTTGAGGAATAATGGTAAAAACCGGAGGAATATCATTCCGATCCTCAACTTTAACAAGAACTCTCGTCGTACTCCCATTTCCATCCGACATATTTTCCAAAGTTCCAATCACCAAAGTATGCTCACTTTCCTTTTCATAATCCAACCCTCTCGTTGTATAAATCGCGCCGCTACCCTCATCGATCCTAAATAAATCTGTCGGTCCTCGATGAATAACGTACGTAATTTTTTTGATTGTATCCGGATCGTGGGCCATCACATCCGTTACGAAAGCGTCGGGAACGTTTTCGGGTACGGTAGCTTCGTATTGGTCTTTAGAGAAAACGGGAAGTTCATCTTCAACGTCTAAAACGTTAACGGTAACCGTGGCTGTTGCTATCCTCGGATCTAACGCGCCGTCTTTTGCTGTAACGACAAATTGATAATTTTTGGTTGTTTCGAAATCGAGAGCTTTATTTGTTGTGATTTCCCCAGTTTGATTGTCGATGTTAAAAGGAAGATCGGTTGGAATCATGTAAGAAACGATCGCGTTGATTCCTTCATCAGCGTCAACAGCTTCGACTTTACCAACGATCACGTTTGTTAATCCTTCTTTTACCGTAAAATTATAAGGATCGTTAATAAATTCGGGATTTTTATCGTTTATGTCGGTTACTTTTACATTAACGGTAGCTGTACTTGATAATTTCCCCGCATCTTCGGCTTTTATTATTAATTGGTATCGCGTTAAATCTTCGCGATCTAATTTTCTAATTACTGTGATTACCCCGGATTTTTGCCCGATTGCGAATTGTCTCAAATCGTTTCCGGAAACTATAAAATAAGTTACAGGGTCTTCTTCGGGATCGATTGCTAAAACTGTTGCAACTGTTGAGTTGATCGTAGCACCCTCGCTTACTTCAATATCGTAAACGTTTTGCTCAAAAACTGGACTTTGAGTATTTGGACCAGGACTTACTGTAACTTCAACAATCGCTTGGCTATATAAACCACCTTTATCGGTCGCTTGGACCGTTAAGCTGTATTGCTCCCCAGCATTTAATTTTCGAATACTTTCAATTTGACCGGTTATTGGGTCAATCATAAATTTATTGTTTCCGTTATTTGAAACGTGATAAATTGAGTAAGTGATTTGGGCGTTTTCTTCTTCGTCGTTGTCGGTGGCTTGGATTTGGATTACTTTTCGTTTTGTTTCTCCGGCTGGGACGGTTGTGGGGGGGATTGAGGGTAAAACCGGGGGGTTATCGTTGACGTCTTTGAGATTAACGGTGATGGAAATTGGGGCGCTTGCTGCAACGCCGTGTTTTTCACGGGCAACGATTTGAAAGCGGAATTTCCCGGGATTCGGGGGATCCCGATCCAAGTTGTTTTCGTTGACGGTTAAACGGCCGTTTTTGTCGATGTTGAAGGAAGGGGTGGTTAATTCGAAGGTGTAAATTGGTTTTGGGTCATCTTCGCCCTAAAAGATAATTAATAAAATAAATTTTTTTTAATTAAATTAATACTAACAAAATCTTTATCGATAACTGAAACCATCACGGGGTCCCCTTTTATATCTAAAACATTCGTCCCAATCGGTGAGTTTTCGTTAACCCAACCCTCTTCGGATGAAAAAACGATTTCCGGTGGATTTGCATCGACTGGTTTCACCGTTATTAATAGTTTCGCTGTGGTGGATCGTTTCGCTTCGGAAACTTCTTGCGCTTTAATGATAACGTTAAACATCTTCGTGGTCGATGTATCGACCGCTTTAATTTGATGGACGCTTCCGGTTTCGGGGTCAATTCGGAAAAATTCCGAATAAGAATTTGGGGTTCCACTCAAAAATGTGTAACGAATCGGGGAGTTTATCGTATCCATGTCGATTGCTTGAATTTTTTCAGGGGATATGTTTAAAACACCGTGTAAGACTCCACTAGAAACCTTAATCAAAGAGAAAATACATTAAAATTTGATATAAATGGTGAATAACAATTAAAACAACTCGGGGAAGTTTCCCCGAGTTTATTTACGAACATTCTATACTCTATTGACTAATTCGGAGGAGTAAAATAAAAAGTTACGTTTCCACAGTGTAATTTTTCAAAGCTATTTTTTTGGCGGGAGTTTTAAAACGAGAGAGGATTTTAAGTTAACTGTAGTTACGAATTTAATTACTTGTTTGTTTAAATATAATAAAAACCATGGCGTACCTATTTACTTTGTCCCACATAAAATGCAAATAACAAATAAAACTAGTCTAATACTAGAACTAACACTAGACGGCTGGTAGGTGGTAGGTAGCGCTAGTTAGCATAAAATATCACTAGAACTAAAACTAGAACTAACACTAGACCTTCATGTCTCAATTCTTTGAAAAAAAAAGTAGTATTTTGACGAGGAATTGAAAATGTCAAATAGAAATTTGGCGATTTAAAATTTTTTATAAATAGAACCGTTCAGCCTGGATACATAAAATTTAATATAACTTAACCTCTAATGTTTCTTTTATAACCCCAGAAACTTTCATGTCGCAATTCAAAAACGTTTTGGAGAAAAACTTTTTTTACTTCATCTTCAAAAAACGTCAAATTGATTGCTAATTTATAAAATTTTTTATAAAAAGAATCATTCAACCTGGAAACTTAAAATTTGGTATAACCCAACCCCAAATGTTCTTTTATAACCCCAGAAAGTTTCACGTCTCAATTCTAATTCGTTTTGGAGGTAACAAATTTTTTTATATCATCTTCAAAAAACGTCGAATACAAATTTGGTGATTTATAAATTTTTTTATAAAAAGAACCGTTTAGCCTAGAAACTTAAAATTTGGTATAACCCAACCTCAAATGTCCTTTTATAACCCCAGAAAGTTTCATTTCTCAATTCTTATTCGTTTTGGAAAAAAAGGTATTTTGAAGATGAACAGAAAACGTCAAATACAAATTTGTCGGTTTTTGACATTTTTGATAAAAAATCGTTCATCGTGGAATCTTAAAATTTGGTATAACCTAACCTTAAATCATCTTTTGCACCCCTAGAAAGTTTCATGTTTCAATTCTAAATCGTTTTGGAGAAAAGATATTATTTTACTTCATCTGCAAAAAAATTTCAAATGCAAATTTGGCGATTTTTAACACTTTTTATAAAAAGAACCGTTCAGCCAGGAAATTTAAAATTTGGTATAACCCAACCTCAAATGTTCTTTTATAACCCCAGAAAGTTTCATGTTTCAATTCTAAATTGTTTTGGAGAAAAACTTTTTTCTACTTCATCTACAAAAAACGTCAAAATAAGGTTGCTAATTTATAAAATTTTTTATAAAAAGAATCGTTCAACCTGAAATCTTAAAATTTGGCATAACCTAACCTTAAATGTTCTTTTATAACCCCAGAAAATTTCATGAGTCAATTCTAAATCGTTTTGGAGAAAAAGATATTTTTTTACTTCAACTTTAAGAAAACGTCAAATACAAATTTGGCGATTTTTAATATTTTTGATAAAAAATCGTTCATCCTGGAATCTTAAAATTTGGTATAACCTAACCTTAAATAATCTTTTGCACCCCTAGAAAGTTTCATGTTTCAATTCTAAATCGTTTTGGAGAAAAGATATTATTTTACTTCATCTACAAAAAAACGTCAAATCCAAATTTGGCGATTTTTAACACTTTTTATAAAAAGAACCGTTCTGCCAGGAAATTTAAATTTTGGTGTAACACAACCTCAAATGTTGTTTTATAACCCCAGAAAGTTTCATGTTTCAATTCTAAATCGTTTTGGAGAAAAACTTTTTTCTACTTCATCTACAAAAAACGTCAAATTAAGGTTGCCAATTTATAAAATTTTTTATAAAAAGAATCGTTCAACCTGAAATCTTAAAATTTGGCATAACCTAACCTTAAATGATCTTTTATAACCTCAGAAAATTTCATGACTCAATTCTAAATCGTTTTGGAGAAAAAGATTTTTTTACTTCATCTGCAATCAATGTCAAATACAAATTTGGCGATTTTTAAAATTTTTGATAAAAAGAACCGTTCAACCTGGAAACTTTAAATTTGGTATAGCCCAACCTCAAATGTTCTTTTATAACCCCAGAAAGTTTCACGTCTCAATTCTAATTCGTTTTGGAGATAAAAATTTTTTTTATTACATCTTCAAAAAACGTCAAATACAAATTTGGTGATTTATAAATTTTTTTATAAAAAGAACAGTTCAGCCTGGAAACTTAAAATTTGGTATAACCCAACCTCAAATGCTCTTTTATAACCCCAGAAAGTTTCATTTCTCAATTCTTATTCGTTTTGGAAAAAAATGTATTATTTTACTTCATCTGCAAAAAACGTCAAATAGAAATTTGGCGATTTTTTACATTTTTGATAAGAAGAACCGTTCAAATTGGAAACTTAAAATTTGGTATAACCCAACCTCAAATGTTCTTTCATAACCCCAGAAAGTTTCATGTTTTAATTCTAAATTGTTTTGGAGAAAAACTATTTTCTACTTCATCTACAAAAAACGTCAAATTAAGGCTGCCAATTTATAAAATTTTTTATAAAAAGAATCGTTCAACCTGAAATCTTAAAATTGGGCATAACCTAACATTAAATGTTCTTTTATAACCCCAGAAAATTTCATGAGTCAATTCTAAATCGTTTTGGAGAAAAAGATATTTTTTTACTTCAACTTCAAGAAAACGTCAAATACAAATTTGGCGATTTTTAACATTTTTGATAAAAAATCGTTCATCCTGGAATCTCATTTTGGCATAACCTAACCTTAAATGATCTTTTGCACCCCTAGAAAGTTTTATGTTTCAATTCTAAATCGCTTTGGAGAAAAAGATATTATTTTACTTTATCTGCAAAAAACGTTAAATACAAATTTGGCGATTTTTAACACTTTCTATAAACAGAACCGTTCTGCCTGGAAATTTAAATTTTGGTATCACACAACCTCAAATGTTCTTTTATAACCCCAGGAAGCTTTGAGTCTCAATTCTAATTTGTTTTGGAGAAAAAGATATTTTTACTTTAACTTCAAGAGAACGTCAAATACAAATTTGGCGATTTTTAACATTTTTGATAAAAAATCGTTCATCGTGGAATCTTAAAATTTGGTATAACCTAACCTTAAATAATCTTTTGCACCCCTAGAAAGTTTCATGTTTCAATTCTAAATCGTTTTGGAGAAAAGATATTATTTTACTTCATCTACAAAAAAACGTCAAATCCAAATTTGGCGATTTTTAACACTTTTTATAAAAAGAACCGTTCTGCCAGGAAATTTAAATTTTGGTGTAACACAACCTCAAATGTTGTTTTATAACCCCAGAGAGTTTCATGTTTCAATTCTAAATTGTTTTGGAGAAAAACTTTTTTCTACTTCATCTACAAAAAACGTCAAATTAAGGTTGCCAATTTATAAAATTTATTATAAAAAGAATTGTTCAACCTGAAATCTTAAAATTTGGCATAACCTAACCTTTATGATCTTTTGCACCCCTAGAAAGTTTCATATTTCAATTCTAAATCGTTTTGGAGAAAAAGATATTATTTTACTTCATCTGCAAAAAACGTTAAATACAAATTTGGCGATTTTTAACACTTTTTATAAAAAGAACCGTTCTGCCAGGAAATTTAAATTTTGGTATAACACAACCTCAAATGTTCTTTTATAACCCCAGAAAGTTTCATGTTTCAATTCTAAATCGTTTTGGAGAAAAACTTTTTTCTACTTCATCTACAAAAAACGTCAAATTAAGGTTGCCAATTTATACAAATTTTTATAAAAAGAATCGTTCAACTTGAAATCTTAAAATTTGGCATAACCTAACCTTAAATGTTCTTTTATAACCCCAGAAAATTTCATGAGTCAATTCTAAATCGTTTTGGAGAAAAAGATATTTTTTTACTTCAACTTTAAGAAAACGTCAAATACAAATTTGGCGATTTTTAACATTTTTGATAAAAAATCGTTCATCGTGGAATCTTAAAATTTGGCATAACCTAACTTTAAATGATCTTTTGCAACCCTAGAAAGTTTCATGTTTCAATTCTAAATCGTTTTGGAGAAAAAGATATTATTTTACTTCATCTGCAAAAAACGTTAAATAAAAATTTGGCGATTTTTAACACTTTTTATAAAAAGAACTGTTCTGCCTGGAAATTTAAATTTTGGTATAACCCAACCTCAAATGTTCTTTTATAACCCCAGAAAGTTTCATGTTTCAATTCTAAATCGTTTTATAGAAAAACATTTTTTTAATTCATCTTCAAAAAACGATAAATTAAGATTGCCAATTTATAAAACTTTTTATAAAAAGAATCGTTCAACCTGGAATCCTAAAATTTGGCATAACCTAACCGAACAGCATGGTTGGCATAACCAACGACGCTAGTTAGCATAAAATATCAGTATGTTGCATGAGCGTAGCCAGAGAGGGGCAAGGAGAGGCCACTTTTTTACAAAAAAATTAACTCTTAATTACAAATTGACTGCACCACGGTCAATGCGCGACATCGAAATTTCAGTACAATTGGCTTGAGAAATATTCACCATGGCTGGTATATTCAAAGCACTTAAAGGGAGTTTCGTGTTTATACTGTGTGATGTTTCCTTCTACTTCGGTTCAGGGAGTCCAAGGTTCTTTAGCTGTATGCCCTTTTATTCGATGTAAGCATATGCATGAATACGACAAGAACCATATTGCAAGTCGATGGCATTTGGCAGCAGTCAAAGTTGCAATATCCTTGAAACAATCGACAAATTTTTACAAAGAGGAGAATTAGACCCACAAAAATGTGTTGGGCAGGGATACGACGGATGTGCGACAATGGCAGGCAAAGATGGTGGTGTACGAAAGATAATAAGGGAAAAGTATAGAAAGGCCTGTTCTTTCATTGTACAAGTCATAGGTTAAATCTAAATCGCGTCGCTGAGATTCGTAACACAGTGTCCACTATAAAAGACATAACATTTTTCGAGAATCCGTTTTAAGGAGAAAATACGCTCCAAATATACCAGCTCTGTGCAAAACAAGATGGTCTCAAAAATACCGAAGTATTTCTATCTTCATGCAAAACTTCTTAGGAATCGTACATGGTCTAGACTATAGAGAGACTCGCAGAGGAAGGAAACACTGCTACAAGAAAGACAGCCTTTCAGCTGCATTGTGCTACCACGAAACCTGTATTTATTATCTCCACCTGCATTATATCTAAGTACTCTGCTTTACTGGAACCTGTTGCAAATGTTTTGCAGTCAAAGGGTTTAGATCTCCTGCAACGTACGAACCACATTAAGAAAATTGTTGATGTAGTGAAAGTTCATCGCCAAACTACGGATGCCATTATGAAAGATCTCTTTGCTTCTGCTAATAGGATTGCGGAGGAAATACAAATAGAACTTCATCCATTCAGAATAGTAAAGCACCAGCAGCATCGTTCAAACACTCCTGCAGATTCACCTGCTGAGTATTGGAAACGTACGATACCTATGCCATACTTGGACTCTTTAACATCAGCGTTGGAGAACACATTTTCTGTAGAAAACGTACCGGCCTTTTCTATATTATCCCTACTTCCTTATTGTATGTTAAATTTGAACATTGTAGATTTTAAGCAGAGAGCAAAATCTATTGCTGAATGGTACGACCTGAAAGAGCTTCAGTCTGAAACTAAATTGTGGTATCATGTGTGGGCTGAGAAAAACCTTGATAGACAAATCTTAAAAGATCTGGAAATGGTTGAAGTGATTAAAGAAGCTAATATATTCTTTCCCGGCATAAAAAATGCTTTAATGATCTCAATAGCGCAGCCTTGTTCTCCAAGTGCAATAGTAAGATCATTTAGCACATTAAGACGTGTCAAAACATGGTTAAGATCTACAATGGGGAAAACCGTTTAAATGGACTATGTTTAATTAGTGTGCATAAAAATCTTGTGTCGGAAAAAAAGAATGAGATAGAGTTAGAAGTCATACAAACATCTTCTGAAAATCCTAAGCGATTAATGTTATAAATAAAGTATGTGTTGTTTAATTTAACGACTCTTCAATTCTTGAAAACCTCCCACTCCTGCCCCGGTCATGCAAGTCTCCAAGATGTCAACTCTAATTCGCCCCTAATTTGCCTAATTTTATTGAACTAAAACTAGAACTAACACAAGACATAGAACTAGAATCATTCGGGTTTAGCCGTCTTGAGAGACGTGCGGCTAAACCCGAATGTTTCTAGTTCTCGGTCTAGTGTTAGTTCTAGTTTAACACTAGCACTACCACCAGAACTAACACAAGACATAGAACTAGAATCATTCGGGTTTAGCCGCCTTGAAAAACGTGCGGCTAAACCCGAATGTTTCTAGTTCTCGGTCTAGTGTTAATTCTAGTTTTACACTACCACTATCATTAAAACTAACAATCTAGAACTAGATCCAATCCGAATGTTTCTGGCCGCCTAGAAACATCTCGAATTTTCCTAGTGTAATTTTTGCTTAAAACTGACCAATAGCAACCCTTCTTTTTGGCGCTTCAATTTGAAAACACTTCATTAAAAAATAGAGTATACACTGTTCGAAGTTCGTTCTAACGAGATCCGTTATAAGGAGGTTTTTTTGTAATAAATTATTCAAAATAAAATATTTACCGAGGCTGTATATTCTGGATTAATACAAGCTCCATCAGAAAGCATACATCCTTTATAAATAAACGAAGGATTTTGATCGTCGTCATCTTTAATATTAACGGTAAGAATGGTGGTTGTTGATAATCGATGTGATTCATTTCTTGATTTATCCTTGAAAAAGAGAAAAAAATTAAAATTTATGTTTTGAATTTCTAATGCAAAAATTAAAAATAAAAATAACACTGACCGTCGCCACTATAGTGACGTAATATCGTTGAGTTTTTTCGTAATCCAAAGTTCTATTCACGGTCACCTGTCCTTGATGGGGAAGATTAATGGCGAAAAAACCGTAACCATCGGCCGAACTAATTCTGTTATAATCCAAATCGTTGGTGCGTGTTTCATCGGATCCCGGAATTATTGAATACTCAACCAAGCCGTTTACTCCGGAATCTTTGTCTTTTGCCAAAACGTTTTGGAAAATCGTTGTTCCAATTGGTGCTAACTAAAAAAATAAGAAAAATCAATTAGTAATTTAAATCCACGTTTCAAAACTATTTAATTGACATTAAACGAACAATTTTCTCTCTCATTCTAGCACACGTGCAAAGATTTCTAACGGTAGAACTCTCGAGATTTCTACTCGGGGCAAATCTAACGGAATTCCAAACGTGTATCTTGGTTTCTTGGTCGTTGAGATATTTATGTTAATGAGAATTGTGTCACCGAGATCTTGAATCGGAGTTCGTTATGTGTTACTGGGTTAAAAGTTATGAACAACGATTTATTAATATGATTTATAAAGTCTGGTTTCAATTTCAATGCTATAAATTTACCTCGGAGATGCTGGTTTCGTATGGAGTATTAATAAATTCCGGCGCATTATCATTAACGTCGATTAATCGTACGATGACCGGATATTTTTTTCGCTTGTGAGTGCTTTTGACGGTGCAGGCCACTTGAAAAACGATATGGGACAGGTTGTCTTCGTCTCGATCAATCGGCGATAAGAGTCGCAGGCTTTTCCCGGTGAGGTAGAAAATGGGTGGTCCTTTTGGAAATTCCAAGTCCAAAAATATGTCGACGTTGGGTTCGCCGAAAATTGGGAGGTCTTTGGGGATCGTTTCTTGTGTTATTGCTAAATTACATAATTATTAATGTTAATATAATTAATATAATGCAGAATAACTCACAAATTCCTCTGCTTTCTTCTATATCCAAAATTATGTTACTTTGCCCATTTTGAACTTCACAAAAACCTAAAAAATAGAAAATTTAATATTTAATTTTGCCAATATGGGCCAAAATATACAACTCTACTAGTTATAGACACTAATTATGTGAAATCTATTTTATAATAACCGATACATAACCTTAAATGATAAATCTTCTTAACCCGAATCTTTAAAATTAATTCAATGAGTTTTTTGTCCTCTAGAAACTTATCTTATTCCTATATACACTTAATGTTTAATTTTGAACGATTTTTATTTATTTTAACTAGTGGTTTGTTCATTTTAAATTGTATATTATCTTCCATCTGTCAAATTTTGACAGCTCATTTACTAGCGCCATCTAAATGTCGGAGGTAAAACTAATTTGTGCTATACATTGAAATAATATTATTAATTTTATTAAAAAGTTATTAATAAATAATATGCTATAACAATATATAATAATAACTTCTAATTATAGCAATTATAATGTTATTACTTTTTTATAATATGACATATGACTTTAGAACACCCGGTATACACATATACAGGTGTTCTATAAGTATTCCAATTTTACAAGGAGGCACTTAAAGCCCGATTTAATCTGATTAAAAGTGTTTAAAGGTTTTTTTTTGTTAATTATAAGTAAAAACAGAATTAAAAACATTAAAACGGTAAAATAAGTACTCATTTTGATGACATTATTAAGATAATAAGTTTGTTTAGTAGCAGGAAACGATCGATAATTAATTACGATGAGTAAAGTTGTTTATCACATTCCATTTATTCGTTTTTAATTTATTTTATTTCCATTTCTAATTCCCTTTTCATATTTATTCATTTCTTCATTGTTTTTGTATTGGAGAGTCATAAAATTAATAATAAAAGTGAAAAAAGTAAACAAATATGGTAAGCATTTGGTACAAAGTATTATAATAGTTATACATTACAACATTTCCGCAAGATAGTTTGACGACAAACTGTATATATTATACAGAGTATTTCTCTAAGTCGTGCCATAATTTTATTTTAATCACAAATACTAGAGTGTGACAATTTTTGGTCTAAACCCATAAATATCTAAGATAGTTTCAATATTGTTTGTCCCAAAAAGATAAAATTTGATCTACAGTGCAATGTTATCACGAGAAATCGTTTAAGATCACTTCTGAAAATGTGCAAGCACTGGTCAATGCTATACAGGTGTTCACAAAGGTTATTACATGCATAAAATTACTTGCTGTTCTGTTTAATGATGGATTTCACGATAACTGTTGAATGAAAAAATTTGCGGTAAACTTTGTTACATATAATCACTGATCACTTCTGTATTAACTTCTATATTAACGCGAATTTGAAAATTTTTGACTCCTCAGTTCTTCTTTTATAGCGAGTTAATCATAAAAAAACACCCGATTTTTGAGTTGCCCTAAATTACCGTCTCTTTATGAATTTTTTTTTCGCCTTTCACTAATTTCACACTAGCTAACCAATTGCCTGCAGTGATGTTTTGACCAGATCCAAAAATTGGCCTGGACAATCGCATAACTATGGAATCTGCCGAATTTGGTTGTCTAAAAGGACCTTCCTATAATATAATTTAGCATCAGACAAAATATTTTTATGTCGCATTTGGTAAGCTTTGATGGCAAACAGCAACGTTTTCTACTTACTTCATGCATTTGAAAAGTACCTTTGACAAGTGCTGCCCTGAAAAAGAAACCTTTATTTCGAGTAGAAAAAGGAAAGAAGTCAAATTATCTACAACTACAGAAAACAACTTTAACACCGTACTAATTCTGGGAATTATTGCACAACAAACAAAAACGGAAGAAGCATACCAAATATACAATAAATATAAAAGAAAATTAAAACAACAAGTAATGTATGAACAAAAACTACATAATGAAATAGCGATACACCAAGCTGAAAACAGACAAAAAAAAGTAACTGCAATACGGCTGAGGTATACAGTTTTCTAAGACCGACTGATACTACAGAAGCCAAAACAATAGTGAAAAAGTTTTAAATCAAAAATAACTGAGGACATTTATGGAATGTCTGTTGCTTTTTTGAAAAGAACTATAGAAGGTGTATCTGCACAATTAATGTATCTTATTAACATGTGCCTCAAACATGGAATATTTCCAAACGAATTGAAGTTAGCAAAAATTATTCCCATCCACAAAAAAGAGGATGTAGAAAAGCCATACAACTACAGGCCCATTTCTATTCTCCCAGTAACTTCGAAAGTCTTCGAATGCGTAATAGCAGATAGAATTTCTGCTTTTTTTGAAATGACAAAATTGTTCACTAAATATCAACAAAGCCACCGTAAAGATAAATCTGTAGACGCAGCTATACAAGATACCGTAAACAAAATACTGGAAGCAAAGATAAAACAAAATTTGTAGTGTTGGTAGGAGTTGATCTATCAAAAGCGTTTGATAGTGTAAACCATGCCCTGCTCCTAGATAAGCTGTATTAATACGGTATTTGGGACATTCTAAAGTCATACTTGAATGCTAGAATGTAAATCGTGGTGGTGAATGGAGGAAGATCTAGTGCTACAGAGGTCTGAGTGAGTGTTCCTCAGGGTTCGGTATTGGGTCCTTTGCTATTTATCATATACATAAATGACATGGCAAGCATTGTACCACATGGAGACCTTTGCCTCTATGCAGACGACACAACTATAGTTTCAACGAGCGAATCAATAAAAGATGTTCAAAATATCTTCAGCAAATTCATGCACGCTGCAAAAGAATGGTTTAATGGTAAACCAAGAAAAGACGCAATGCATTACCTTCAACAACGGACATAGCAATACCGAAAATAAATCCCTAAAATTTTTAGGTCTGTATCCAAATGGTACACCCATATAGATAATACTGCCAAGAAGCTAAATGGCGCAATTTACTGTGTAAGAGCTATCAGTACCATACAAGCGGCTAAACTCACTTATTATGGCAGTTTCCACAGCGTAGCAACGTACGGCATTCTGTTCTGGGGCATGTCTTCAGCAGCAAAGCGAATTTTTCTATTACAAAAGAGGGCAATTCGAGCACTTCTCAAGACTCTAAAGACTCAAAATAACTTCGAATATTGGGCCCAAAATTCTACAATAACTTACAACAGTCAGTTAGACAATTGCCTTATAGAAGAATGAACTCGTTCGTTAAGAATTACCTAGCGCAAAACCCAATATACAGGATAAATGAATTTCTCGAAAGATGTACAGAATGAATTATTTTGTTTTCTTTTCTTTTTTCTTGTTTTGTATGTCCACATGTAACCACATTCTAATTAGGTGACATTATAACATGTTGTAATTTCTTATGTATTTGCATCGAATAAATATTATTCATTATTATTATTATATATTGTCAAAATGAGCGAAATCCGGGTAGCATTTCATCAATTGTGACCTTTTCTCCCAAATCAAAATGTTATTGACAATTTTCTATAAACGTTGTAAAAAGTTCTCTAAATGCAGCCAATTTGTCAACTTTCCATCGAGTGCCTCTGGTATCTTTATCATCGAAGCGTAAGCACTTTATAAGGAATCTGAATCGTCATTCGAAAAATATCTATCCCTAAACCATCGGTACTCCACGAATCGGACAATCGTTGATGTCCATCACTAAATACACCCGCTAGATAGAGCAAACCTAAAAATGTCTTCATTTCTGCTGTATTGGTAGGTCACCAATTTCTTGTTCTGCCAAACTTTTCTTTCACTTTTACTATGTGTTGATTAGTGCGGTTCACTAATAGATTAACCCGTTTTTGCCCGAATTAATTTTTTTTAGATTCTTGTGATTCCAGTGTCATTTTGGTGCAGATTTTATCATTTGTAACTTACTTCAAGCATTATTTTTATAAAATACTGTTTCTTCGTAGTATTTTTGGATGTCTATTAATGAAGCAATGGGCATGAACCGGACTTTCTCAATAAAATCAATCAAATCAGCATAAACTTTAACAACAAATTAATGTATGGGAATTATTTATTGCCTATTATCTTGTGTGGAAGTGAACAAAACAGGATTCATGCATTGATTTTACATTTTTGACAAGACTACCTCGTGTTTTTTTTTACAGACAGCACAGCGACTTTGTTTTTCTGCGTGAACAATCCGGTAGTTGGTTTCTTCAAATCGCACTTGCATTAGCACTCTTGAAGGCAATTTATGGGAAGATGAACGTCTTCCTCCTGCCGGGGGAATACCATATTTTTGTAAATACGTTTTTTACTCAAGTCTTTTTTTATATAGTTGCCATCCGTTGTACATTAAAGTATCGACACAAAACGCAAAAATTGCCAACCACCACTTCTTCGATCTAATGGAAATCCTGTAGTTATCTATGTTCTCATCTATCCTGTCTACACCGGCCATAAATTTATTATATTGAGCCACTACATGAGGTTATGCAACTGGCAACCTTTTTTTCTGTTTTGATATCCACCTTTCCACTCTACATTCTGAAAGCGTAGAATCATAGCTAGTAGAATAGAATAGATAGTAGAATGATAATAGAATAGTTCTGATGAGCAAGTACTGCTCATCAGAACTATTCTATTATCATGCCAGCTTGTAACGGTTAGTTATTGGCATAGAAACCTGTGTCTTTCTTTTCTACCATTTTTGAAGGTATTATGGAACACTTTTCAATTCTATTTTATCTGATAGGTCTTGTACATCCATATCTTTTTCCTATAAATGAGTTACTACTTTTGTTTTGGTAATACTTTTATCAGTCCAAGTGCAGCAGACTTTCCTACACCAAACATTGGTTCCTTTACAGTTCCTTTTCTTAGTTTTTTTGTGGTTGTCTCATTTTCTTCTTTATCCGCTGAAGTAAAAGCTACATTTTCTCTTGTCGGTTTTTTTCCTTGGTATGGTTCAAATTGCATCAAATACCCAAAAGGTTCGCAGAGGTACCACATCTTGTAACTGTATCATATCGGCTTTCCTTTTAAAAATTGTTTTTCCCCGTGCCTACCAAAGTATGGAAACATACTTTCATCAATACTCAGCCTT